TGCAACAGTGAGACTGTCTCAAAAAAAAAAAAAAAAAAAAAATATATATATATATATATATCTATCTCTGTGTGTGTGTGTGTGTGCACGCGCGTGCGCGTGTGTATACACAGAGTTATACGTGGAATCCAGGTAGAGAAGACTAATCTCCCTCAAGGATCACTGAAGACACCAGTGAGTACAGGGGAGCCCAGAGGCGAGGGTGGCATTCAGAAGGATGATGTGGGGGTCTACAACAAAGCAGTGTACTGAATTTGCCTCCCTGTCTATAACTTATAGAAATTACACTAACATTGGTGTAGTTCTTTGTAAAGATAGTGCCTTTACAGACAACCATATCCAATTTAGTCCTATGTCACAATCCCCCTTAAGCAGGTATTTTAATTTCTACTATACATGTGTAGGAATTAAATCAGGAAAGGTCAAATCAGCGGCATTAACCAGTTCTGTGAATTTAGGGGAAAGTTAGAACTTAAACTTTTGAGTGCAGAGCCTTTTCCCTTGATCATAATTGCCACTCATTACAACCAGCACTGCCCCATCTAGCCCTCCTAGGACACCATCACCGCTCTGGGTTGGAGCCCCATCAGAGGCTTCGTCCTCAGTTCAACCTTCACTTCCACCAAGTCAACCTCCTAAAAACTGTTTCAGTGTCCACCCTGGCTTGCCAGAGCACCATCTCTGCCCTCTCTGTCCTGTCCACCTTTGCTTCTTACTAGAGCTTGGGAGGGGTCCTTGCAGGCAGTCAGATCAGTGTCTTTGCTATTGCCCATTATGGTGCAGTAATCAAAGACATGTTATAGGAGAGAATTCATTTACAGGTGAGACGGGAGCATGGTCAGAAAAAGGAAAGCAGTCTCTACGTGGCGAGTGAGCAGATGGGGCCGGGGGCTGCTGCTCCCTGGGCTGGTTGCAGCCCACCATCTCTCGTGGTGAGCATCCCCCATTCTGACCATGAATCTCACTGAACACATACATTTTTTTTTTCATACAACATACTGCCCCCAAACTCAAGTCAACAACTGAAGCGCTGAGCTCTATTAAGAGGATAAAATGTAGATCTGGATTTACTGAGACTCCAACAGGGCATCCTCACAGAGCTTCCCAAGATTAATCTTGCTCTTGTGAGGTTTTTGTTATGCACTGACCTAAGGTCCTGACCCTAGGGTAAGAAATACAACTTCTCTGCTGTATGATGCTATTGTTCAGGTCAGCCTCTGGTGGATGCTCTTGGGCTTAGGCGATTCTGTTGCCTCAGATTCCCAAGTAGTTGGGACTACAGGCACCTGCCATAACAACTGGCTTTTTAAATTGTTGCAGTTTGGCTGGGGCTGGGTTTGAACACACCACCCTTGGTATATGGGGCTGGCGCCCTACCCACTGAGCCACAGGTACCACCCTACCCCCAGTTTTTCTAGACCTAAGAGGCACTTAGAGCTCCCAGGCCCACAAGTATTTTTTGAATGTCCCCTCTGTGACAGGAAGGGTACCAGGAGTAAGAAAACTGGGGTGTATGAGACAAGTAAGATCCCAGCTCAGTAAGAGCTACTTTGTAAGACTGGCAATGAGCAGAAAAAACAATAAAATTCAGATTGAGAAAAATGCTCTGAAAAAAGGAGAGTGACATGCTGGAGAATGACCTGTGTGTGAGGTTGGTGAGATGGTCACCAACTCACACTGGGTGGTGGGTGCTAAGGGGCACTCACAGGGAAAGAGACCCTTAAGCTGAGTTCTGAATGATAAGAAGCAACCATGTGAACGTAAGGGACAGAATATTCTGGAAAAGAAAACAACTGAATCCCTAGGAGGAAATGAGCTCAGTGCATCCCAGGAACAGAGAGCAGAGTGCACTGAGAGGGGGACAATGTGAGAGCCGGGCTCAGAGACAGGCCCTGGCCAGACCACACAGGGCCCAGGGCAGGAGGTTTGCATGGAAGCTGCTAGGGAGTTTCAAGCAAGAGATGACATGATCTACTTGGGATTTTAGAGCAATCTCTCTGGCTGCTGGGTGGAGGAATACAGGGAAGATAAGTGGGGGTAGTTCAGATTATGTTAATCAGAACCCAGAAAGCCCTGCCCCCCATTCAGAGGGTGGTGTCTCCTAGACCCACAAAACCAGGGTAGTACAGAGACCGCGGTACAGAGGTGCAGAGGTAGTAAAGAGTGATGGCTTGGACAACCAGAGTCCTGGAAAACTAAGAGGGTTTTTGGAGAAATGACTTTTTGTTTGCTAAACTTTGTAATTCCTAAGAAAAAAACACATTCTTAAATGTCTGATTTTCTGTTCTCTACCTTTTTCCTTTTTCATTATTTTTCTCTTTAATGTCTGATTTTCTTGCTTGCCATTTTATCACTGACTTGGAAAACATCTGCCCAGAAACCTCACACCTGAGCCTTTGCACTACCTCAAGGAGGTGGGCACATCCTTCCACAAGGGCAAGAAGGAAGGGTGGCTACTTACCTCGACGCAGAGTATGAGGGCTATGCCCCACAGCGTTATGAGCTGGGCCAGCGGAGAGCTGGTGGGAGCCAGCAGCCGCCTGGGCCTGGGTTTGGCCAGTGGTCATCTGACTGCTGTTTCTCGCTGGTGCAGGGGCAGGGGCAGGGGCAGGGGCAGGGGCAGCTGCAGCGTCCTTGGGTTTGGGAGGACTGAGAAGAATAAAAGTCAAGTTAGAGGTCAGACACTCCTACCTAGAAAAGCCAAATATACTATACTATAAAATATAAGACTCCATGGAGAATTTTCACTTCAGCAGGCAAGGAAGGAGATGATTGGAAATTTTCATCACTTACACTAGGCCTATAAAGCTACTGTTTAGTTGATATCATGCAGGAATACCTATTGTATGATGCCATGTTTCCTCGAAAATAAGACACTGTCTTATATTTATTTTTCTCAAGAAGACACACTAGGGCTTATTTTCAGGGGATGTTTCTCTCTGTGCCGAAATGCATAGCCACGCCCATCACTAGGTCTTATTATTGGGGTAGGGCTTATATTTAACAAATGCATAGAAATCCTGCTAGGGCTTATTTTTGGGGTAGCTCTTATTTTGGGGGAAACACGGTATTTACTGCATCAGACTGGCCTCCAACTATTCTGCTACTTCAATATTATGATAGAGAGACCCTTTCAAAGCAACCAACAAGAAATTATAAGTTCTACTGTGTTTGTACTAAAATTGGGCAGGATTTAATAACATGAAAGGGCTTCTGAATGTTGACGTATACACTGTACAAAAACTAAACAAAATCTATGGGCGGCGCCTGTAGCTCAGTGGGTAGGACACCGGCCATATACACCGAGGCTGGTGGGTTTGAACCCAGCCAGGTCCTGCTAAACAACGACGACAACTGCAACCAAAAAAATAGCTGGGCATTATGATGGGCGCCTGTAGTCCTGGCTACTTGGGAGGCTGAGGCAAGAGAATTGCTTAAGCCGAAGAGTTTGAGGTTGCTGTGAGCTGTGATGCCATAGCACTCTACCGAGGGCGACATAGTGAGGACTCTGTCTCAAACAAAAACTATGGGAAAATAATACTCAAAATTGTAAAGTGCTTGGTTATTATCAGTAATTTGGACTTGAGGAAAGAGAAACTCTGAAAGGCTAAATGATTATTCAAAGTCCAGAACTGGTAGTATCAGGATAGAGATCAGAACTCAGGCTTCCTACTTTCTGCCCCAGATCTTTTTATATAAAATATTACAGCTACATTTTATCAAGGTCACATGGAGTAAATGATATTAGTGAAGTACACACAAAAATATCTGTAGAATGTCATATGAAAAAACAGCAAACTGATGACTGGCATTCCATTTGTCCTCCTGCAGTAAGGACTAATTATTGCCTTAAGCAATGTATCTAGCCTTGATTAAAGAAACTGAATGCCAGGAGGAAATGGAAATGTATGGAATTTACTTATACTTTTTTTCTCAAATATAAACATTTAAACCAGAACAGATATGTGCACAGGGCAACTGTTACTAACGAACTGACATGGAGCTTATGATGCGCGTATAAAGCCTTATGACCTCTGAAGGCTTCATGTTTCCTAACCAAAGAGAGAATTTTCTCAAATTATGTGAGTAAGAATGAATTCAGGAATGCACAAAGCATCCAAAGCTCAGCTGTGATGACTGAACAAGAATCCTGTCTCATAAGCAACTCCACGTACTCGGAAGCTCTCCCTCACCAACCCCAAAGGTGAGAGGCGTCCCCCCAAGGCAAATCTGCCTCACTATGGGAGGAAAGTGTGCACATCAGCAGGCTGTTCTTGTTTTGTGCACATTTACTTCACTTTATATATGATCACTCAGTGTGCTGTAGATGGGCAAAGCAGAGCAAATGACAATAAAAATCCTTGCACACACTCTGTCACAGGGCTCATCTTTTACAGCAGCTGCCAGTTCTGAACCATGAGAGATACACCTGAAGTCGCGCCTCTGGGTCATCTGCCCTTATCAGTGTGCAGAACTGAATTAATGCCAATTTTATAAAAAATTCAAGCTTAAGGTTGAACAATTTTTATTCAAAGTTGTTATATGCTTGCAGCCTACTCCAGGCAGGTTTTCAAAAGGTTAAACAACCTTTTAAAGAGCCATTTAAGATAATCAACCATCTTATCCTCTATCGTGGACTTGTGTCAACTCTCTAATGAGAGAAATGCTGGGGGTGGGTGGAGTCACAGTCACCTCTTGTGACTAGTACGCTGCCTGGCACATAAAAGTTGCTCAGTAAATCTGTTTGATTGAATGATTTAATGAATGAGCAAATGAACGAATGAATGCCAGGAATACCAACACTTAACTAACTTGCTACATTCAATGCTTACTAGTTAGCACAGTGGATGACAGCAAGCAAATGGCACACGAACACAGACAGCACACATCAAACAGGTATGAGACACTTATCCTAACTGCTAGACACATACTGGCTTCCAGTTTCCAGCACCAAAGCAGCATGGCAAAGAACGCAAACAAATGTTGCTTTCTTTTGAAAACAGAAAAGGAAGCAAGCGATTTGCAGTTTTTTTCCTCCGTCCTTTGCCAACTGGAGCAATGAAAGCCAATCTGGCTCACTCCATGCTGAGGTGACTCCTTGGGTTTCGATGCCATGCCCAAAGGCACCACAAGAAGGCTGGGCATCCAGCCTCGCTGCCAGCAGAAGTCAGCCTTCTTACCTGCCATCGCCTGGGCTTGGCCCCTGCTCCAGTATGCCCGCAGAGGAAAGGACAGTCCCACCCCCAGAGCTGCTTTCAGCCCTAGAGCTCTGTGGAGGGGGCTCTGGGCCTGCTGGCGCCAAGGTGCTCCCATCTGTGGGCGGGAGTGGCGGCTGGAAAGCGGGGGATATGTGCTTTCTATTTAGGGTGCCACCCCGCCGGTGGGCCTGGAAGTCCATAAGCTTCACACCAAAGCTACACAGAAAGAAGAAACAGTCAACACACCATGCAAGCTGACTACTGAGACAGAAGCCCACGGGTCCACATGTGTTAAAAGCACACATGAGGACAGCCACCCAAGTTGCCCAGCATGCAGTGAAGCGGCAAGGACCACACTAATGGTCATCCTATTACCAAGGCAAGCAATTCCATTTGGCTTTAAACCTGAGCAAAGCCAACAAACCTGGTACTGATTAATATCTTTAATCAATTTAGGTGTGAACAGCTGAAAGTAAACAGGCAGGTCTCACCTTGAGTGACATTATGTTAACGTGTTTACTTCGACAGAACCTCATACCCATCTCAAATCTGTGTTTGAGAAATGAGGCTGAAGCCAAGTATAAAAGGCCTATCAGTGGCAGTGTAAGGTAATCACACCATATAGCTTCTTAATTAAGATGAAATGTAGAAACATTCACACGTGCATGTGAAAAGGATACATCTAAAAAGACATAATCCTGGAAAAAATAGTTGCTTTTGGGGATGGTGGCTGCAGGATAGAGTAGAAGAAGACTTGGTTTTCACTGAGCCGTTGGTACAAGAATGGTCTGTCATGTGCTAACTAGACTCACAGCACTGCACTTTATAACAAACTATAAGAAAGCTAATTTTGTTATGTGCAATGACAACTTGTCATCGGGAAACCCTACTGAATGTGGGAATGAGGATTCGGATAAGTAAAACTTTTGCACAGGATGCATGTGGATTTCAGAATGATAAAATAGGAAAGTGAAGCATTTTTGCTATGGGGTAAAAACCCCCCAAACAAAGCAAAACAAACAAAAAACACACGTCACTATAAGACTGGGCAACCAAAATAAGAGCTTATCGCTTAGTTTTAATGTAAAACTATTTCTAGTAGTATTACACATACTCAAGAAAAGCATATTACTTCAAATAAGCCTCTTAACTCTTAGCACTGCTGGTCGAGGCAGTGGTACTTCATCATACACACTGGATAGGTTGGCATCTGAAGGCAAGAATCACAAATCTTTTGTTTTCTTTCTTTCTTTTTTTTTTTTTCAATATCGAGTCTCACTCCATCACCCTGGGTAGAGTACCAGGGCATCATAGCTCACAGCATCTTCAAACCTTGGGCTTAAGCAACTCGATTCTCTTCCCTTAGCCTCCTCAGTAGCTGGGACTATAGGCACATGCCACAATGCCCAGCTAGTTTTCTTTTTTTAGTAAAGACAGAGCCTCACTCTTACTCAGGCTGGTCTTGAACGCTTGAGCTCAAACAATCCACCAGCCTTGGTCACCAGAGTGCTAGGATTAGAGGTGTGAGCCATCCCGCCTGGCCTACAAAAAGTCTTAATTATCCTTAATTACCACTACTCATCTTTACCTTCTTTCTCCCCTAATCAAATACATTTAGGTGAATTCGCAACATGTGTATGATGCTGTTCCACTGTAAGGCTTACCACAGAACCATCCAGTTAAGCTTGACTACATACGGTACGAATGTTAAGTGCCAAGCTGCACACCTACTTTATGCTTGGAACATAAACCCACAGCAGAATTCCTCAAACTATCTGGACCTATTAGTCAGGGGTGCATAGAGGGCCACTCAAACCCCAAGTCCACCTAACCAGTACCAGACACTGCAGGTCTAACGAGTCTTCTATGTGTTATCAACTGTGGGTTTGAAAGTAAACGGTCTAAACACACCTCTCCTTCTTCACCAAGTCCCCTTCCATCACTGCCATGCTGGCGGGCCGCTTCCTCTCAAGAGTACCCGAGTCAGAGTCACTTCCAGTGTGGGATGAGTGATTAGAATTTGGGGTGGCGAGAGGTACAAATGCTTCTGATACGTTAAATTCCACCTCTGCAAGAGAAAAAAAATAAACAAGTATATGAGACACAGACCACAGGGACAAGGGAATTCTAAGACACCCTCCCACTGAAACCCGAATCTCACCTTTCAGTCCACAAGCTCCCACTACTTCACAAGTGGAAGTCCCTGGCATGCTCACCCTAAGAATAGTTTCTCAAACTAATGAGAGGTAACATAATAGCACAAGAGACAAGGAGAAGGCATTATTCAAAATACAAATTTCAGATGGCATCTGTAGCTCTATGGGTAGGGTGCTGGCCACATACACCGAGGCTGGCAGGTTTGAACCTGGCCTGGGCTAGTTAAAACAACAATGACAACTGCAACAAAAAAAAAAAAACAGCCAGACAGAATAGCCAAACTTGTCGCAGCTGCCTGTAGTCCCAGCTACTAGGGAGGCAGAGGTAAGAGAACAGCTATTAAGCCCAAGAGTTTGAGGTTGCTGTGAGATGTGATGCCATGGCACTCTACCAAGGGCAACATAGTGAGACTCTGTCTCAAAAAAACAACAAACAACCCCCTCCCCCACAAAAGCCCAAAATGTAAGTTTCAAAACCCTTTTGCTTTATCTTTAGTGAAAAACAAAACCTTCTGTAACGCAGAAGAGGACAGTAAGTATAGATTATTGGAATCATTAAAAGTGAAAGATACTTATACTCTGACATAAAACAAATAAAAGGCAACATCAAGTCCATAATTTCTATGGCAGTTTTTCTAAGTATCATTTTCCTTAATGAAATCTTGGGCAAAATCCAATACTAATCCATCCATCCCATCTTCATTCGGCATAAGGGAGGTATGATTCCTGGTGGGAAGTCGGTGGTGAAAGTTGCTGGTGAAGCAAAGATGAGCACTTGGCCTCATGGGTCTTAGGCTACGATGAATGCAGCAGCAGAGTTGCTCTGCGGGAAGCAGGAGAGGGAGGTCCACACTCCTAACACTTGACCAAACAGTATTGCTAAAGGAAGCTACAAGAACCTCTATGGATACCAGGATTGCAAAAGTCTCGTTTGAAAACCTATCACCTAACTAGAGGTCCTCAAACTTTTTAAACAGGGGGCCAGTTCACTATTCCTCAGACCCTTGGAGGGCCGGACTCCGGGATAAATGTCCTAGGCGGACTACATGTGGCCCGCAGGCCTGTAGTTTGAGGACGGCTGACCTACAGGATGAAATTCTAATTCCCCAACATGGTCAACTCAGACCTTCGCCAACTTTCCCCAGTTGACCTTTCCTGCTTTGTATTCTGCCACTACACAAATCTAAAATCTAGAGAAACAAACAGATCGCTTCCAAGTGAAAACTGCCCCATGTTCAACTTCACCTCTTTTATAAAGCAATCCCTGGCTCCCCTCAGCCAGTACCAGAGTTTGTCAAATCTTTCTCTATCTACCTAAGTTACCATGTACAATAATTTTATCTGTTTATGTGGCTGTCTTTTCTGGTGGCCTGAGTTCCTCCAGGGAAGACTATAAGCCTAACCAGCAAACATGTAGCACTTAGTGAGTATTCCATGCACACTGGCTGAATATCTTTTAGTTGAAGCTAAGTGAAATATAAGATGATATGATTCCCATTATGTTCAAATATCAATGCAAATGAACAACGTCTGGAAAAGAAATGTGAAAAAGTGAAAACAATTATGTGATCATGAAGGGATTACTGATATGTATTTTTTTGAATTTTAAGAAACAGGATTACACTGTATCACCCAGGCTAGAGTGCAGCAGTACAATCATACTGCAGCCTCAAACTCCTGGGCTCAAGTAGCTGGGACTGTAGGCATGTGCCACTACGCATGGCTAATTTTTTTCATTTCTTTTAAAGATAGGGTCTTAGGATCTTGCTGTGTAACCTCATGGCCTCAAGAGATCTCCTGTGTCAGTCTCCTGAGTAGCTGAGATTATAAGAAGACTTTCTATACTACTGCTGTATTTCTTTGGCAGTCAATCAAACTAACATAATTACCTTCAGGGAAGAACCAGTCGGCATGCTGAATGATGGGTTCAATCACTGCAACCACGTGGACAGACGTGGCTGCTGCCATTTCAGCAAGTGTTCTGCAAAGGAAGTTCACAAAATTAAATATTTCTGGTTTTATCAGGGCAATTCAATTATTTTTAAAGGATAAAATATTTAAACACAGATGAAAAAATCAAGTTTACAAGGTCCTGGTCTCAGTGATCATCTAGGGAAAAAAATTAACCTGACTCTGCTGAGTCACTCCATAGTCAGCTGTTGACAATCAAAGTTTCCACTGTACACAGGCCCTATGAGCAGTTAGGAATCTGACAATTAAGTTCGAAAACTTGCCACTGTGTCCTTACACTGACAGCACTGTACAAACAACTCAGTGAGGTTTCATAACCTTGGCATATCTTTGTCTCACAGTTGTGTTTGCGCTGATGTGTGGTGGTTGTCTTGCTGAATGGCATTCACTGTTGTTTTTGTGAGAATGAACATCCTCCATCATGAGAATGTTGGAACTTGAATTAGAACAACAAACAAACATTCATAAACATCTTGTTAAACTTGTCTAGAGTGGAAGTGAAATCAGGAAAATGTTAGTCCAAATTTATGGGGATAATGCCATGAAGAAAACAGCAGCAGGCTTGGTGCCTGTGGCTCAACCGGCTAAGGCGCCAGCCATGTACACCTAAGGTGGTGGGTTCGAATCCCCAGCCCGGACTCGCCAAACAACAGCTGCAACCAAAAAATAGCCGGGCGTTGTGGCGGGCACCTGTGGTCCCAGCTACTTGGGAGGTGGAGGCAGGAGACTCGCTTGAGCCCAGGAGTTGGAGGTTGCTGTGAGCCGTGATGCCACAGCACTCTACCCAGGGGGACAGCTTGAGGCTCTGTCTCAAAAAAAAAAAAAAAAAAAGAAAGGAAACAGCAGCATACAAATGGATTAAACATTTTTCTGAGGGGAGAGAAGTGTCACTGGTGAAGAGGGGCCAGAACAGCCAGTAGTACTGTGCAGAAATGACAAAAAACACTGCAAAACCTCCTATAACCCCACCCAACATAAAAAAAAATACACCATTGTTTACTGGCTTATAAGTTCTAACAACTGAATTTATAAATTCTACTCATCCTACAAAAAGTGCTAGGAATTCTGTGTCCTTTCAATGTTTGTTTTTTCCCCAGAGAAGGTTTTGCCTTGTGGTGTAATCATAGCTTGCTGTAACCTCGAGTAGCTGGGACTACAGGCACATGGCACTAAACCCAGCTAATCTTTTATATTTTTGTGGGGATGGGGGAGGGTGTCTCACTATGTTGCTCAGGCTGGTTTTGAACTCCTGGCCTTAAGCAATCTCTTATCACCACCACGTTAGCCTCCCAAGTTGCTGGGATTATAGGTGAGGTATCATGTCCACCTTCAGTGTGTGTCAAAAGCTTGTTTTAAACAGGTTTGGAATGAGGCTGCACTTCCTCACTAGAACCAGTAGCTGTCTTCTAAGACCCAAGATCACAAAAAACCTCTGGTGCCAGTAACATCATCAGGGGTCGTGTTGTTGCAGTGTGCCTCTTAGAATGGGAACCTGAGCCCTCATATTTATACTGAAGGTCATAACATACACAAACCAGCCCCCAGATGAGTGTTCAGAAGTTACATGTGATTAATGTCAGAGCGCGAAAGGAAGAAAAGAAGTAAGAATCTTTATCCTGCTGCCAAGTCCATGTTCTAGCTGGGAGTCAGAATACTAGAGAAGCTGAACCTGCAGAAGGCCTGCCGCCTCCTGAGCACCCACCATGCTGCCGCAGGGGCTTCCCTCATTCGTTTTTACAACCACCTGTCTTGAGGCCTATTTTATAAGTGAGGACAGTCCATTCCCAAGAAGCTTAATCTCATGTCTGACTGTCTCAAACTTCTCTTTTCTTTCCTTTTTTAAAACTCTGACCTCTCTTCTCACCACAACATTTTCATCCCATTTTCCAACCTACCAACAGTTCCAGCACTTTTCAAATCCCAGCTTAAAACTGTAAGCTCTGCCTACAAATTACCCTTCACACCGTCTCTCCCCTCTGGATCCTGACCAGTCTCCATGCTTCAGAACCGTGCTGGGCTAGGAGAAACAGTCCTCTCATGTCCTTTTCCAATTTTTCTTTTTGAAGATAGACTGTTCATCTATTGATTCACAAGACATTTTCACATATTCTGAATATTTTTGGAAGAACTCGTTCCTAGTTTGTGAACTGCCTTTTGTTTAAGATCCTTTCTGATATATATAAACTTCTAGCTGTTATAGAGACAAATCAATTTTATTCTATTATTATTATTATTTTAGACAGAGTCTCACTTTGTCGCCCTTGGCAGAGTGCTGTAGCATCACAGCTCACAGCAACCTCCAACTCTTAGACGTAAGTGATTCTCTTGCCTCAGCGTCCAGAGTAGCTGGGACTACAGGCGCCCACCACAACGCCTGGCTATTTTTTTGTTACAGTTTGGCTGGGGCTGGGTTCAAACCTGCCACCCTTGGTATATGGGGCCAGTGCCCTACTAACTGAGCCACAGGTGCCGCCCAACCAATCAATTTTAAACTTATTATTTCTTGTACTGTTTTTTTTTTTTTTTCTTGAGGCAGAGTCTCACTATGTCATCCTTGGTAGAGTGCCGTAGCATCACAACTCACAGCAACCTCAAACTCTCGGGCTTAAGCAATTCTCTTGCCTCAGCCCCCCAAGTAGCTGGGACCCACCAGCTACGCTTAGCTATTTTTTGTTGTAGTTGTCATTGTTGTTTAGCTGGCCCGGGCCGGGTTCAAACCTGCCAGCCTAGGCCTATGTGGCTGGCACCGTAACCACTATGCTATGAGCGCCGAACCCTTGTGCTGCTTTTATGCTTAGAAAATTCTTCCCCATCCCAGAACCTAACAAATGTTTACCTGCCATGTTCATGGCATCACTTTTTATGTTTAAACCTTTAGTCTATCTATAATTAATTTGCTATAAAATATGACATATGTAGTTAATTCTGTATATCTACTTATCTTAAATTTTCCTTTTAGATCTTTGTAAATAATCACGGATGTGTAGATGAATGAAAGATAGACTGTGATCCAAAAAGGTCACTGTACTTTTAAAAACTTGAATGGTTCATGATTTCACAAAGAAGACTAGCAGTGACAGAAGGTAAGGAAGGAAGGGTGATAGTTAAGAAATACAGGTTGTGTAGCCGAGGCCTGAGCTCCACCACTTCCCTGCTCTTAATTGATTACTTGATCTCTCCAACACTCAGTGTCCTCATCAGAAAAAATGAGGATACCTATACCTGCTTTGAAAGGTGATTTGTGAGGACCAAATGAGACCAGCAAAAAGCCACCAACAGAGTGGCCATTTCCCTGAAACCTCACCTCTATTCAATCTACATTTCTCAATGCCAACACAACTGTTTTTCCAAATACAATTTAACAAGTCAACCCTCTGCTTAGGAGCCTTGATGACCTCCCATGACCTAGAAAATAAGCTCCAAACACCTCAGCAAGATATGTGAGGCCAAGGCTCTTCATAACCTGGCTCTGGCCTATCCAGTTACAGCCCCATGTCTTGTCTTCAAGTTATACATGGCCACACATATCCCCCTCAATGCTGGAAGCCCAGCCCTCGTGATGCATTATTCGTGATGCAATGCCCATCCAGATTCCAGCTGTAGGAAACTATTAATTCATCAAGGTACAGTTCAAGTGCCACTTCCTAACCAGAGCTTTCCCTGAACTTTTCAGCTGGAATTACATTTCTTCATCCGTGTTGCCACCATACTTTATAATGTCTGTGATACTAAGGGTGGCAAAATAATGCCACCCCAAAGTAAGTCCCTTTGGCATAAGGATATTTTTAGTTTAAAGGCACTTGAAAGATAGCAGATGCAAGAAGGTGCTTGGACCTTCCTTTTTCATCCTGAAAGCAGAAGATAAACTCCTATATGAAAAATGACCAGTAGAGATGAGGAATCAAGGCGAGGGGAAATTTTTATCTACAAAATTTGTTAACGTAATCTCTACCTTCCTAGACACCTCTCCACAGTTAATGGCCCCAGCCCAAGCCCTTTGCCTTGTCATGTTTTCACAATTTACTACTTTGTGTCCAACTTAGTGTGTAAGTGATCAGCTCTAGCTGCTTCTTTGGGTCTTCATTTTCCTGTGGGGGTTCCCATGTATATGGGAACTTGTATGCTTTTCTCCTGTTAATCTATGTCAATTTAATTCTCAGGACCAGCCAGACACCCTGAAGGGGAAGATGTCAAGTTCTGTCCTCACTGTAGTCCGATGTGTGTACATCTTAACACTGTGCTGTAGCCACTGGCTGACCAACTGGTGCAGAGCAGGGGCTTTCTGAGAACTAGAACAATGATCTTACATCCCCATGTGACCAGCATCCAGGGAAGCACCCAGCTCACACTCATATGTGTGTCCTGAGAATGCTGGCTGGAAAAAATCAACTTCAGAACACCCTGAGGCACAGCTAAATCTAGAATGTGCAGTCCAAATTATACTTCTACTCATATTATCAGAGGAAAGAAGAAATTATAATATTAAGATATTGGAAAATGTTACTTACCCTTCATTTTTGGCCCATAATAAGTTAGGGCCTAACACAATCGCAATGTTGCTAGGAGTCATTTTATTAACGTCACTAGTCTGAGCAAGCTTTGCAAGGAACTTGATTAAATACCTATGGAATAAAAGAGAAGGGGCTGAAGCATCGTCTCTGAAATATTTGCAGGGAGGGTTGCTCTTACTACTCAGGTGCTCAACCTCCAGTGCTCAGCTGCTAACTGCAGAGTGTTCCACACTCAGAAACTGGCTCGGATGAAGCACTTTATAAATTTCTTGTGTTTTTTGTTTCTGAAAACAGACTAAAGGGCTTGGAAGAAGAAAATAGCTCAAATATAAATTTCAATAGTTCATCACTGTTTGCTGTTTATTTCTAATCCATTTTTCCTTGTGTCCTTACTCCCAAATTGTAATGTGATTAACAGTGGGCTCAACATATACACACACACATATTTATGCATAATACATATATATTTAATACATGTACAGAGGGTACCAAAATAATATATACATATTTTAAGAAAGGAAAAAACTGTCTTAAAATTGTAATATTCAACACATACTGATAACAAAAGATTAATGGAAGTCTCATTGAGCACCTCTTGTAATTGCAGAAATCAAACATGACTTGACTATTACAAATTTAATACAGTTTTTTCCTTTCTTAAGATGTGTATACGTTTTTTGGCACCCTCTGCATATAAATATTTTTTAGAGATAGGATCTTGCTCTCCAGGCTGGAGTGTAGTGGCAAGATCACAGCCCACTACAACCTCAAATTCCTGGACTCAAGTGATCCTTCTGCTTTAGCTTCCCAAGTAGCTGGGATTACCAGTACATACAACCATGTCCAGCTAATTTTATTTCATTTTTTTTAGAGAAGGTCTTGCTATGTTTTCTAGGCTGGTCTTGAACTGCTGGCTTTAAATGCTCCTCCCTCTTTGGCCTCCCAAAATGCTGAGATTACAACATGAGCCACTAAGTTTGGCTGTTAATATATTTTCAATACAAAAATGCAAGCACAGGTATACTGCTTAACGGAACCAGTATTTGTATTTATAAGTATAAAAAATCCAATTTATCATACAGATATACTCTCTGATGTATAAGTACGATATTATGTGTATAAGTGCAAAACAGTAAGAACCCAACTATCAATCAATGGGGAGTTAAATAAATTACAGTACATCCATACAGTGGAGTACTCTGCAACCTTAACAAATTAATTTTGTACCGAAAGGGAATAATCTCCAAGATGTATTAAGCAAATACATTAAGACGTTAAGCAAAGAAAGCAAAGGGGGAATGCTGTTTACCACATACACTAGCATTTGTTTCTCAAAAAGGGACGGGGATGAAAACATGTATGTATGTATTTATGTGCATGTATTTGCTTTAATGTGTTTGCTTAATATGCATTAACTTTTGCTAGAGACTATATAAGAAACCGTACACATCTGTGTCTCAGGAGAGGAAATCAGTAACGTGATTGAGAGTGGGTTCACAGTGGGGGATGGGAACAGAAGTGGTTTTTTATTGTATACCTTTTGAATTTTGAGCCATGGGAATGTGGCAAATTTTCTTTGTACGATAATTATTCCATAAAGTAATACATAATCTCTGTTCCTTGAAATTTTATTTAGTAGGATGATTTATGCTCTATTTAAAATAAATTAGGTAGCATACATGAAAGCACGTACGTCGTTGTTGTTTAGCAGGCCCAGGCCAGGCTCGAACCCACCAGCCTCCGCGTATATGGCTGGCGCCCTACCCACTGACTATGTTGCTGGTGCTACCCAAAGTGTTTTTTACTGTGCCAAGTATGCTTGAATAAAATGGTGTCTCTGCTGGGGATTAAACCTATCTTTATTCCAGAGTCACTGCGGCTCAACCATACATACCTAAAGTTAACAAAATTGTGTGGTGGCAACTTCTGACATGTTCTCCATAAATCTTGAAGTTTTTTGTCTTGATCTTGCACACTGAGAAAAAACATTTTATTAAAACACATATTCGTGATACCTTTATCAATGTGCCATATTAATAGTGATGCTTCCATCTGAAAAAGAAAGCCCACCTGGAAAACAGCACAGATTTTGGAATTAAACAAGAACTGCCTCTGTGACATTTTAAATAAGGGCTGTTCTGCTTCAAAGCACCCACCCTAGACAGACTGCAGGCAAGGGAGGAGAGAAAGGGACAAAGAGTAGGAACACACAGCACTGGGTCAGACAAGTCTCAATCTGATTTCTAAGCTCTGCCCATTACTTGCTACTTCCTTTGGCCTACTCCTTCCCAAACCTCAGTTTCCTCACCTGCAGTATGAAATCGTCTGCCTTTTAGGGTGTTAATTAAGGGTAACAGGCGGTAAAGGGCATAAAGAATAGTGTAGGCACAGCACTTAGCACACAGTAAATGCTCAGTAAACATTATTAAGAGTTACGTCACATCACATAGTTAACAACACAGGGTCCATTTACATGCAGATATGTTTCAATAATTATATTGGAATTTTTTTTTTTTTGAGATTTGCAACAATTTGAAAAAAACTTGAGGATGAACCTGCCATTCCTAAGACAGCAAAACCAACCCCTCCTCTACCTCCCGCTCCTCCTCAGCATGAAGACAAGGCTGACGACCTCTACTGATAACCCACTTGCACTTAATGAATAGTAACATAGATTTTTCTCTTCCTTATGACTTTCTTAATAGCAAAATTTTCTTTTCTCTAGCTTGTTTGATTGTAAGAATGTATTATATAATACATACAAACATACACAATACATGTTAACTGACTACTTATGTTATCAGTAAGGCTTCTGGACAACACCAGGATATTAGTAGCTAAGCATTAGTAGTTAACTTCTGGAGCCAAAAGTTATATGAGGATTTTCAATAGCATGGGGGTCAGTGCCCCTAACGCCATGTTGTTCAAGGGTCAACTACATTATAGCATGGCTGAGTTGGAGTGTAGCTTCTTAGGCACATTGCCTCTGGTCAATATGACACCTGTCCCAGTTACACAGCTTTCAATATAAAGGGCCCTTGAGATCAGCCAGTTCACTAACGTGGATACAACTGTGTCTTCATCCATATAAACCACACAAATTTAAACCAATATAAAAGTGATGACCTTCCTACACTAATAATTATAATACTCGATATTTCACTCTAAATGTTAATAAGAACTGGGGCACATATTATTTAATAAATACAGTATTTTAAGGTTATTTTATGATCCTTGAAAATGATTTAAAAATAGGATACAATATTACATCACTTCTTTTAACTTTCAAAATCCTGTGTCCTTAAAGTTACCTTGCAACTTGTGTCCATTCTTCATACAGATTAAAAGTCATCAAAGGTTCTGGCAATTCCCGTAAATAGGACTTCAAAGCACCTGAAATAATTAATGCTCTCTTTGAATACAAAAAGGGGTAAGGCTGAGAATTTCAGAACACATTATTTTGTAAATCAAAATTATCTCAATTACAATGTTCCATGGCATATAAAAAATACCATAATTTGGCAGAAGTGGTTAGAGAATGAAATGCTCATAAAATGAATTCAGGCCCTTGTGAGGTGATTTTGTTGCTATGCAAACATCAAGTGCACTTATACAAACCTAGATGGTAGAGCCCACTACACACTTAGGCTAGATGGTACAGTCTGTTGCTTCTAAGCTACAAACCTACACAGCATGTTACCATATTGAACACTATAGGCAACTACAGCAGACTTTTCAGTGTTTGTGTATCTAAACACAGAAAAGGTAATGCACTACACTAAGACATATGATAGCTACAGCTGCAGCACTAGGCAACAGAAATTTTTATTTTATTTTATTTTTACATATACATGTGTTTACTAGGTTTCCACTTTCTGCCTTCACAAAATCAAAAAGGCTTAAAATTTACCATCAATAACAATGTTTGAGATAAGGACTAGAAATGAAAACCTTGTAAAGAATGAATGAAGATAAATACATTCATAAAAGAAATCAGACGATTGCTGCAATGAAGTACTAGGCAATAATAATAATAATAGTAATGCAAAGAAAGTAACATTCGCATTGTCAAATAAGAGTATGTCTATTATACAATGCTTTGCTTGTAATTTCTCCTTTATAATAATATATTTTTTCCAATTTTAATATCAGGTATACCCAGATTAAGCAGAGTTTTGAAGTATTTCTTCTTTTTCTGTTGTCTATTAAGATTTGGCATGATCGTTTTTTGAAATTATCTTTTATTTATAAATATTAGTTGTCTATTTTATGAGACTTTGGGGAAAAAGTAAGAAGAAGTTAATTGATGACTCCATACCAAACCTCAGGGTCAAGGCAACAGAAATTTTTCAGTTTCGGCTTGGCGCCCATAGCACCGTGGTTACGGCTACAGCCACATACACCCAGATTGGCAGGTTGGAACTTGGTTTGGGCAAGTTGAACAACAATGACAACTGCAACAAAAAAAAATAGCTGGGCGTTGTGACAGGCACCTGTAGTCCCAGCTACTTGAGGGGCTGAGGCAAGAGAATTGCTGAGGCCCAAGAGTTAGAGGTTGCTGTGAGCTGTGACGTCAGCACTCTCCCAAGGGCGACACAGTGAAACTCTGTCTCAAAAAAAATTTTCTGTTTCATTATAATCACATGAGTCACAATTGTACATTTGGCCCATCTTCAACTGAAATGTCATTATGCAGCATGATTATGTATCTCCAAAATATTTGTGTTGTAATCTACTTTCACCATTACTTAATACACAACAAACAAACAAAGGGAACAGAAAAGGGGCGTGTATGTACACATTACATGCTACCATATGGCATTTTATCAGGAGACTCGCCCATCACTTTGAGGGTGACTCAGTCTGCAGACACTCCTTGGAGCTCACCTGCTACTGCGTGGGGGTCTGAATAGAACTCATCCAGGTGAGAAGTAGAACAGTCTAAAGCAGCTTTCAGTTTCTTTAACTTGGAGGCTCCAGCCCCAATTCGGAAAAGGCCCTAAAGACAATGAAAAGCCATTGGCATCAAGTGCAGATGGGGAGTCTCACACTAAGCAACAGGATGGCCTGATAGAAGGGAGCCCCATTCCCCTTCCTAGCTTCAGTACACCTGCCTGCCTCGCAGAACTGTTAGGAGGAAAGAAGAGGTCCAAGTTTGTACCCCGAGCAGAGTGACTGGCAAAGAACAGAGGTCTTGATCTGCCTCATTATTAAAATACCTATGCCTAGGCTTGGTGCCTGTAGCTCAGGAGGCGAAGCAGCCACATACACCTGAGCTGGCGGGTTTGAATCCAGCCCAGCCCGCCAAACAACAATGACGGCTGCAACCAAAAAATAGCCCGACATTGTGGGGGCGGGGCGCCTGTAATCCCAGCTACTTGGGAGGCGGAGGCAGGAGAATCACTTGAGCCCATTTGGAGGTTGCTGTGAGCTGTGATGTCAGGGCAACAGTTTAAGGCTCTGTCTCAAAAAAAAAAAAAAGGAACCAAACCAAAATACCTGTGCCTATTAGAAATCCATCTAAAAGATTTTGCAATTGTACAAGGTGTGTACTTCCACAAGGTTGACTTCTACAGATTTTCTAAATTTAGTATTTAAAAAAAAACTCAAGTAGCTTGGTGCCCGTAGCTCAGTGGTTAGGGCACTGGCCACGTCCATGGAGGCAGGGGGTTTCGAACTTGGCCCAGACCTGTTAAACAACAATGACAACTGCAACAACAACAAAAAAATAGCTGGTTGTTGTGGAGGGTGCCTGTAGTTCCACCTACTTGGGAGGCTGAGGCAAAAGAATTGCTTAAGACTGAGAGTTTGAAGTTGCCGTGAGGCCACAGCACTCTACTGAGGGCGACACAGTAAGACTCTGTCTCAAAAAAACAAAACCAAGAAAAATTGTGTTAAACTCAGCTGCAAGTCACTTTCACGCCCCTAAATGCTACTTAGGAAAAGCAGAGAACACATAAAGAGTCAACTGGAGAAGCAGGAGTATGAAGGATATCAAACTAGGAATTAAAAAGACTTCAATTTTAAAGAAAAATCTAGGCAGGGTTCATTGGTCTCAGCACTACTGACGCTTTGGGCTATAGTTCTTTGCTGTGGGGGCTGTCCCATACATTATACAAGCCAGTGGCAGAACTCTTCTCCTCAGTGTGATAATAAAAAATGTCTCCAGACCCTGCCGATTGTCTCCTAGGGAGCACATCTGGTCCGAGATGAGCAGCACCGACCTCAGCCTGTAGAAGCAGAGGTCACATAGGTGGGGCAAGGGAAGTGACCGGAAGTGAACACAATGAGGGCTTCCTTTCAGGGTGTTCCTTGAACTGGGCACGGATTGCATGGGTAGGTTTAGCTGTGAAAATTCATCAAGCTGTTTACCTATGATATGCACTTTTCTGTTTGTGCATTATATTTCAATAAAGAGTTTTAAAAAGGAAAAAAAGTTTGCACTTTAATTCTTGCTGCGACCCCGAGTGAACTCCCTATGTGCTGACTTCCTTATCTATACAAGAAGAGTGATGAGAACTGCCTTGCTTAGTTCCTGGGGAGTTTTTGGTAAGAATCCCATGAAACAAAGTATGTAAATGCTCCCTTCTTCCCCTCAAAAAAATTGCACAGTAATACATAAATATAAGATTCTTGCTGTAGAGGCTTGCTATTAAAAACCAAATCTCATGGAAGTTCTGGCCTGTTTGCACATCAGGAAATCCAATGCTGCAAATTACAACCAGAGTTTAAAATGAAACAAGACACAAAAAAAAAAGTCATGGTGTAGTACAAGTAGGAAAGGTAAATATGGTCCTATAAACTCTTTATTTCATTTATAGACAGACAGGTAAGATGTGTAGCGCCTCAATTAAAAATGTGGGTCATGATGACAGAAGTCTGAAAACTGCTGGGCTACATAAAACCCACAGTGGCTGTGTAAGAAAGGGAAGCCGGGAGTGCAGGGGGCATGGAGTTCTGTGTGGAAGAAAAGGCACAGAGACTTGGTGTGCAGGCCCACAAAACGCCCCTCACCTCCTCCTTCATGCCTGTTTCCAGGAGCAGCATGACACAGGCTTCGATGGGAAGCGCGATCTCGCGCCCACTCCGTTTCAGGTGTTCTTCCAAAGGAGTCCCAAAAGCTGGCTTTTCCGCCCACTTATCTAGAGCAGCGAATCATTCTGTTAAACACCAAACAACCTCATGCCACTACCAAGCTATTTTGTCCCCAAACTCCCCAAGGGGGCTTTTCCAGCAGTCTGGTAACTGAAGTGTTGAGAAAAGGATATGTCTATTCTATTTGCTTTTGTTATTTACTATCTCCTGGAGCACCAACAGTGTGCCAGGCTGAGGCAGGTACTTGTGGAACAGCAGCCCTAAGCAATCTGCGTGGCACCCCACGTGGAGCCCAGATGAGGCGGAGCAGTGCTATGCACCTGCATGGCGCCCGTATTAGCACAGAGGATGTATCTGAGCATACCACTGTCCCTGAAAAGAAGTTATTCTAGACATACAAAGCAGTGTTGTCCTTCTAGCTGGGGGACAAGAAACATGGGAAAGAGAACATTATTTTCATGTTCTCTTTCAACGACAACATGAAAATAATCTGAAAATTTCAAACACAAGTCAAGCATACAAGACTATAGACGGTCAACATGAAACTGTGTCAAATGCAACATCTCCATGACATGCAGCGCTTCAGACTGCCACATCTCCAGATAGGTCCGAAAAATTCTGAGTTGAAAAAAATGCAGCATCGGCAACCCTGGAGCAGCTGAGGCTGAAGGCTGTGCTAACAGCAGTAAAGCGATCTTTTAGATTATATTCAGGTCCTCTGAGGCAGCTTAGCAGAAATGCATACAATAATAAAGCAGTAAAACAGATAGAAGAATTTAGAAAATGGGTATTACTAAATTAGAATAAGAAGTATCTGGTTGGGTGTGGTCTGCCTGTGGGAGTACTGCTGCCTGAGAAGCTCACAGAAGCAAAGCAGAGAAAAGTAGTTGGTACAAATTCCCTCAAGGAGAAAAATTTAATTCTCTCCAACACTAGGAGAGCACCTTTCATGGATAGTGGTTCCCTAATCGGCTATTAGAGTTGGGTCGGGCAGCGGTGACATTCACTCAGCTGTGTCTCCTTACACGTTCCCCTACATCACAGCAGGGCACAGGCCTGCGAATACTCTGCACACAGGGGAAGGAAGAATATAAAATCCCACAAATCTGCACCCCTGAGAGCTTGCAGAAGGGAGTGGTGTGAGAGCAAGTGGGGTAAAGGTGGACAAAAGGGCGAGGAGAAGGCAGACCAGGGACAAAAACAAGAAGCAGGCCGCCAGCCACCCCAGGGCAGTTGGGAGTCTCCTGTCTCTGGCCCAGCCTCAGCCCAGTAGAATCTCTAACAGAAAAACCATCCGGGGTCTGGCCCTTCCCAGAGGACAGAGCACTATGAAAGTCCTCTCAGAGGCCAAATCTTACCTGACTACTTTGTCCCTTTTATCTAAAGCAAAGATACTCAACACAGGGCTGAAAATGGCCCCACAACCTATCTCATGGGGCTATGGGGCTATACAGGAACCACTCAGGGGAGGTCTGCAAATGACACCTGCCATCTCCTCAACCACAAGCCAGGCCCTGGGATGCTGAGGGGTGGGCATATTCCAAACCTATGCCAAAACTTTCTAGTAAATGCTCAACAGAGCATGCCCCACCACCCCTTACCCTGTTGTAATGTTGGCAGAGGATGCAGGAAAACCACTGACCTAGAGATTAGTCATACGGCAAATTCTACCTCAGGTGCTGGGGTCTCAAACAGCAGACCTACTATGTGCCAGGCACTGTAATGGCACATGAAGTTCATAGAGACTCCCCACTCTCAGGACGAGAGCAATCAAATTGCGAAGGAAATACAAGACATACATGTAAACAAAGAACAGTAATAAGACATGTTTGCTAAGTCACGGCAGATCAATGGTCATGAAGGGTCACAAACACAATTGTCTGCAGAGGCCAGAAAAGAGAGCACATGCACAGTCTCCAAGGGGGGTGGGGGGCTCCGCTCCATAGCGTCAGATCCATGTTGCCTCATGGGAAAGCAGACCCAGAGTCACTAGATGTTCTGAAATTCCAAGAGAAGCCAGAAATCAGGGTCATTATGTGCCTGGGTTTTAAATGATGGCAACTAATTAAAAAAAATTTTTTTTTAATGAGATAGAGCTGTTTGCAACTTCTGGGGCAGACCATAAATGCTAGTGTAATTCACGAGGCAAAGCATTTACCGTCAACTTCACTTGTCAGAGAAGTCTTCTCAAAGGAAGCGCGCTTGGAAGGGGTCTCATAAGATGGATAAGAATTTAAACAAAAATAGGCCAAGAAACAGGCAAATACATGCTGTGGAGGGAAACAGGCTGAGAAAAGACCAGGAATTCCTGTCCCAAGCTCACGCACAAGGTGGTAAGAGCACAGAGCAAAGCGAACCAAGGGAGCACAGAGGAAGGCAAAGCACAGAGCAACAGGGACAGAGCCCCGCGGTGGGGTGGGGGAGAGGGAGAAGAGGCTCTAAGGTCTCAGACCCAGACTGTGTTGAGAGAGAAGAGGACAGCTAGTACGGAGGGAGAATCAGTTTGCTCTTTGAGATCCATGCAGTTTAAGGTGAAACCCAGTTATGAAAAGGAACTGATGCTAAGGAGGCTGTGAGGATGAAGGCACAGGTGAGAAGCAAAGCTGTCAAAGTGAGCAGACTTCCAGGGAAAAGGGAGAGTGAGGAAGGAAGGAGAAGACAGGAGCAAGGACTGGATCTCAGAAAAGGCTGATTTGGGGGTGGGGATAGAAACGAAGGAACGCAGAGTCCTAGGAATGAAAGAAGACAATCACATCAAATGAGAAAAAACTGTAATGAGAAGAGATGGTCTACATTACGTCAACTGCGAGGATCTGGCTAGAGGAGGCTGGTCCTTTGGGAATTGCAGAGAGAGAGAGAGAGAGAGAGAGAGAGAGTGTTTTACATAGAAGAGCAACTGAGAGTTGAAATCAGATTACAAAGGATTACGGGGTAGGAAGGTGGGAAGAAGTCAGAAAAATGAAAGAGAATGAGATTAAATGGGCACCACATTCAGGACAGGGAGGTACTGCATAACCACCAGCTGACCTCGAATGTGAGACCAGAGTCTACAGGAGTGTGGAAAGTGGCAGGGGCCATCACACATTTTTTCTATAGTAAGGACACACTGGGGCCTTCTGAAAACAGAAGACGACACAGGAAGAGGAGACAGGTGTACAGGAGAGGTGGGCAGGAGGACATGCAGAGGTGGGAGGGTACCCCCAGCTCTGAGAAGGGGTGACATTAGCATAGAAGGTGGATCACACGTCCTCCACTGGCTGTTAACCTCACACTCCTGCTCCTTTTGTTCCATCCTAAACTCTGACCTGTTCCCTCTCTGTTCCTCATGACCTTCTAACATATTTCTCTATGGAAAATAGCCTTGGTGAAATAACAAGAATATATTTTATAAAACGGACTGCTCAAGAAATCTAATCTTGTTTTTCTGCTTGTTAGTCAATTCCAAATCAGACTGTAAGACACTCGCAGGCCAAGACAATATCTACTATATCTATTATCTTGTCCCAAGCAGGACTCATCCACAGTGTGTATCTCACAAATACATGCTCTTAGTACTCTGAACTGCCTGGAGAGTCTGTCCCTGGAAATGTGGAACACTTCCCAGTGTCTTCATCCCTTTGTACCATGACCCAATGCCACCCTCCAGGAACTAGGAAACGATCATTTAGGAAAACAGGGCAGTGGCTGAGGAAATCAGACATGTTGCACCTGAGATCACCAAAGACCTGGCTATGGGGTCAGTCAAGACATGACATTTTCTAATTCCATAATCAAAAACTTTCAGGTGCAAAGCCAGACTCTGTTAGGACTTCCCAAAACTCTGGGGAAGTGGCATTCTTTTAGGGTGCTAGCGTGTGTATACCCACAGCACCCTCCACCCACACACTTAACATCACATAGTCATCACACCCAGCACCTATCCTGATCCCCTCTCAGCCCAAGACCAGTGATTTTGCAGGGGGAGCTCCAAATGTCAGTTCTACTCCATAAGCAGAAAAGCACATCAGATGCAAACACAGGCAAGAAATTTCTGCCTCAACAACTTGTACTCATCTTGCCAGTAAATAAGGGAGAAGTGTGATCAAATCTTTAGTGAGGAAAAAGAAGTTTTAGACATCCACCTTAAAACTAAAGTTCGAAAAAAAAAAAAAAACTAAAGTTCGGTCCACTCACAACTTCTGGGTAAAACCTACAATATGCTTGAATACAGCAGGCAAAATATTAATGGTGATAAGAATAAGAGCCTATGCAAAGACAGTGTAGGGGCCTGAAAGAAATGGTCATGATCTTATTATCCAACCTTATTTATTAATGTGACCTTAGCAATACGTTTTAAGTATTGGCTTATAAAATTCTCTCATGGTTAAGTCCAAAATATTTTCCCTAGAATGGATCTTCTTGGAATCACAGAGCCAGAATTAAGCCTTATGGAACAAATAACTGATTTGGAAAAGGATAATTAGACGCTCGACTTTTTCAAGCCAATTGAAGACATCAAAACATACAGGCCCTCCCCAAAGGGGCCAGCTTTCTCTTCAGCTGAAGGTTTCAAAAGAACTGTAACTGTTCCATTAGTATGTTAATTTGGGTTTGGAAGAAATTAGAGAATGAAGCAAGAAAGATGAAATTATGCCAGGAAATAGTACCCTCCTAGGCAGAGAAGCTTTATCCAAGGGAAACACATGCAGAGGAGTCAGGGCAAAAAAGAACCCAGGCAGAAGTGGCAGAGGCAAGAAGGAGGCATCAGCCGCACGCAGGTTACATTACCTTGATGGGCTCGCATTTCGGGAAGGGCCTTTTCTAAGACTGCTAATGCTTTTCTATGGTAATCTGCTTGGGCTTCTAATAACTGAGAACAAACCCACATTCAAAAACAAAAGTAACGTTAGCATCGGATGGACACACACACAATGACTGAGCAAAACTAAAAATGAAATCTTTTGCAAAAAAAAGCTAAAATGACTCAATTTTTACAATGTTTTCACATTCTCTCAAAGGCAGGTGCTTACCGTAACAAAAAATTTGCCATACTCCCCTTCTTTGGCCATGAAGTTGTACATGTCTGCTGCAAGTTGGTCCTGGGTAAGTGGAAGAGAAGATATGTTATTGAAGAAAGAAGAAATGAAAGACAACTGCATCTGAGAATAATCCATGAGTTCTACAACCAAAAAGTGATGGAAACAGCCACAGAGTAAACATCTGTCAACTGGCTTGGTGCCTATGGCTCAAGAGGCTAAGGCGCCAGCCACATACACCTAAGGTGGCGGGTTCAAATCCAGCCCGGACCCGCCAAAACAACAATGATGGCTGCAAACAAACAAACAAAAAATAGCCATTGTGGCGGGCGCCTGTGGTCCCAGCTACTTGGGAGGCTGAGGCTGGAGACTGGCTTGAGCCCAGGAGTTGGAGGTTGCTGTGAGCTGTGAGGCCACAGCATTCTACCCAGGGGGAGAGCTTGAGGCGCTGTCCAAAAAAAAAAAAAAAATCTGTCAACTGACTGGTACAACTATACACTGCAGCAACAAAAAGACTAAGGAAGCTTATTATGAGACTGGCATGGAAGATCTCCAGGATATACTGTTAATGTACCTCATTAAGAAGTATAAAGCATGATACGCTATGCTACCATCAGGTTACAAAAAAGGGAAAAGAAAAATGTCAGATTTTTATTGCTGTATATGTATAAAAAGATGTCTAGAAGAAAAACCCAAGGCATCAGTAATAGTGATTACCTGCTAGGAACATTGGAAATTAGGCAGAAAGAGGACAAAGGGTAGAAGAAAGATTTCACTGTAGTCTCACAGGTTTTTCTTTTCTTTTTTGTTTTGAGACAGAGTCTTGTATTGCCCTTGGTAGAGTGCTGTGGTGTCACAGCTCACAGCAACCTTAAACTCTGGGGCTTAAGCGATTCTCTTGCCTCAGCCTCCCAAGTAGCTGGGACTACAGGCACCAGCCACAATGCCTGGCTATTTTTATTGTTTTGCAGTTGTCATTGTTGTTTAGCAGGCCCTGGCCAGGTTCGAACCTGCCTGCCTCAGTGTATGTGGCCGACACGCTAACCACTGAGCAGAAGATGCTGAGCCTGAAGTCTTATACTTTTTAATACTTGAAATAATATAAAAGAATTACATAAATTTTTAAAAAGTGACTGATAAAGCAACTAGATATATCCAAGCTTCTACTATATACAGGAATTATACACACACACATATTTAGAAAAATTTTTATATATTGAAAAAAATATTTTTTTTTTCTGTACTGGCTTGTTTTTGTCATCAAGGTGCACAAATTAATGTGAAGCCTCTCCCATTTGTTCTAAAAACTTGGAAATGCTAGTTAGCAGTAACAAACATTCTTTTAGGATAACTAGGAAACCGATAAAATAAATTCCCTGATCTCTACCCCCATCACTCATCTGTGTGAAAAGAAAGAAACAAAAAGCCAGAATGATGCTAAGTATGCGTGGAGGCTGGGGATGCCCTGGGGTGGGGTCTGTGCCAGATTTGGTGGCCAAGGTGTTTGAGTCTAGCAATCACGTAGGATCAGAGGACAGAAAATGAAGAATCAGGCCCGGTGAGGTGAGGAATAAGCACATACGCATCACGCATGAAGATAAGGCTCCTGAAGAACTACACCCTCAATGAAAGAATGGAACGGATTCACTCAGCATCGCCTGGAAATAACACAGACTGTGCTCTGGATTGGGCATGCTGGGTCTGAGATAGAAAAACAACGTCCGTGAACTTTCACAGACACAGGCTTGCTTTCGTGAGGATTTGAAGTTTGATTTACAATACATGTGGCTCAAGAAACCCCAAACTGAGAAAGTTTAACTAAAGATGGACACAGACTAGCAATATTCTCTGAGAAGAATCATTCTCAATTTCCAGGAGTCCCACAGATAAAGCCTGTTTTAAGATGAGCTTACAATACAAAATTATGAAATACACGAGGGAATAATCCACTACAAGCACACTCCCACCACTACCACAGAAAACTTCAGAAAATATGAAAGACTGTTAAAATGACTATATTTAAAACAATTAAAGACATTAAAAAAGAAACGTTAGAAAAGTATAATTCACTATCAACACAGGTAGATTTGAAGAACTAGAACTTCATAAATGAAAAATATAGTCAATGAAATCCAAAACTCGATGTTAATTGAATAATAGATAAGACATACCTAAAGAGAGGATCAGGGAAACAGAACTTACATCTAAAGAAATTACCAGAAGGTAGCATAAAGAGAAAAGGAGACAGAAGATATTTTCTTTAGTTTTCACCATTTGAAATTCTGACAAGCATGGAAAATGAGGGAAGAAACATCAGCCCATGATACACCAACCAGACTTCCCAAACCACCAGCCAAAAATATGTACAAGAAGTAGCCAACAGCCGAGATCTAGGTTAGGCCAGATACAAAGAAGAGTGCTCAGTAAGTGATACTAACAAAGCTACAACTGTCCTGAACACAAGCAAGCCAGCGTGACACTAGTTTATTAAAAGCACTTATCTAAATATTCTTTTTGCTGGGAGTCACATCTCATGCCTAAAATCCTAGCACTCTGGGAAGCTGAGATGGGAGGAATGCCTGAGCTCAAGAGTATGAGACCTGCCTGAGCAAGAGTGAGACCCTGTCTCCACAAAAATAAGATGTAGGCTCGGCGCCTATAGCTCAACCGGCTAAGGCGCCAGCCACGTACACCTAAGGTGGCGGGTTCGAATCCCCAGCCCGGACCCGCCAAACAATAATGACGGCTGCAACCAAAAAATAGCCGGGCGTTGTGGCGGGCGCCTGTGGTCCCAGCTACTTGGGAGGCAGAGGCAGGAGACTCGCTAGAGCCCAGGAGTTGGAGGTTGCTGTGAGCTGTAATGCCACGGCACTCTACCCAGGGGGACAGCTTGAGGCTCTGTCTCAAAAAAAAAAAAAAAAAAAAAAGAAATTTAGTCAAGTTTTAAAAACTATCCTATTTGAATTTATTTAAAATGTTTTACTCTGATAATGTAGTCTCAGAAAATAAAGAGGTCAAAATAAAAATCACGTTTAATATCATTCAGAGTATTCTGATAGGAATTATTTAAAATATTAAATAATTCACAATGCTTGACCTTTCATCCACAGTTTGCAAAAGCAAAAAAACTGATAAAAGAACATATTTATTAGGGAGTTCTTGTACCTTGCACTGTTCTACTTTATTTCCAGCTTCGTCCATCTCTTCCTTTAGGGTATCTATTTTTGATGGAAGCCCCTGAAAATTGGTTCCTGAAGATTTGTGAGCTTGGTTCCACCTGCAAAACAAAAGGGTAGCCAGCATATGAAAACTTGGTGGACATACTTAAAGTCAGGACCTAAAGAAGACACATCCTTCCTTTCCCCATAGTGATACTACTTGTGATAGGTATCAGTACCCAGGATGCTAGCTTCTCTTGAGTCTATCCTCTAAAACAGAAGCAGGCAAAAAGAGACATTAGCTTCCCATCATGACAGGACCCTCATAGTGCTGGAAGCAGTGGTCTGCTTTGAGCATAACCAAACGCAACTGGTCTCACATAAACTCCACTGCTGGGACCCCTTTCCTGTAGTGTTCAATCATGAAATCTGTGCCAAGAAACAGGGCTCTGCTGCCCCCCACCTTTTTTATTTCTTTTTTAAAGAGACACTGTTTCCCAGGCTAGAGTACAGTGGTGTCATCATAGATCACTGTAACCTCAAACTCTTGAGCTCAAATGGTCCTCCCTCCTCAGCCTTCTGAGTAGCTGAGACTATAGGCACATACCACCATGCCTGCCTAATTTTTTTGGTAGAGATGCAATCTCACTGCGTTGCCCAAGCTGCTCTGGAACTGCTGGCCTTACATGATACTCCTGCCTTGGCCTCTCAAAGCATGAGATTATGGATATGAGCCACCATTCCTGACTCTCCATCTCCTGCTTTGATCCGAAACGTTCCTTGTGCCCCTGGGGGTCAGCTCCAACTCTTTAGGACTCCTTATATTTCTTCTATCATCTGTGACTTGTGATTAATTTCAGAAAGTAAAAGCTGATCAATAATGTAGCTATTAAGTATCTCAGAAAACATTAAAAAATAAGAGTAATAATAAAGGGATGGGGAGAATAATAATTTTAAACAATTTATTTTTTTTTTCAAATGTGCTTTGACCTTCTGTTTGAATATGGGTATGTCTGGTATTGAGGAACGTTCTTATATTTCAAATTTAAATGTAGATATTATATAGATGTAGCATGAAAAACCATGTTAGCAACTTATCAAAACTGCTGCACTGCCCCCCACACGCTATGCTCTTCCTACTTCATGTTCCTGATGTGACACATTCCTCCACAGCAAGGCTTCAGCAGGTCTGCAGAAGCAAAATTGGAGGTGCTATGTTGCAGAAAGAGCAACAACTTTGGAGTATAATGTGCTTAAGTCTGAAGTTCACCTCTATCTTATATAATTGTGTAATCTAGCTAATGACTTAACTTCTCTGTGCCTCAGTTGCCTCATCTGTAAAACTAAGATAAACACCATCTGCCCTGCACAACTGTCAGAGGAGCAAAGAAGAGAACAAAGATGCCTGCCGTGTGCATGTGCATTTAGTATCCAGCACATAATGGATTCTGACTGAACACTAATTATTATCACCTTCCTCCAGGGAAGAACAATAGGAATAAGCCAAGTAAAGAAGAAGTATTCAGCTGTTTCAGTTTCACAACATCTATTTTGAACACAACCATGAATACAAGATCAAGAATCACTGCTGAAATCTTCAACGGGATGCATATTCCCAACATGTAAAATGCCTGGCAGATAAACGTCTAGAATATTGCTCTACTGACTCTAGTGAGGGAGCATTTATGGGCTTGTTTAATTAACCATTCTTCCTTCTTTTCTCTGAGCAAAAATAGGTCTCAGGGTGGCCTGCACTCCCTGTCACACAGGACTCTAATCAAACATGTACACACGACCAGGAGACAATGGACTTTGCTGTCAGAATCTTAGTGCTGCCATTTATTATCTCAAAGCCCAGAAAGAAGTCATCCAGATAATATGTGCAGGTCCTTTCCCTCTAAACAAGTCTCTCAAAGGCAGGGGGTGTTACATTCCTGCCCTGTCCCTGTTCCCTCCAACTCACACTGAGGGGCCCCTGCACTCAGTATCTTGCACAAAGTCGATGCATGCTAAGTACTCAATTGATATGTGGTGAAAACACAGATCAGCAAGTGAACAAGGTAGGTGGAAGAATCAAACGACCCAGCATCTAACAAACGTAGCACGACATCTAGCATGTGGCCAGTGGCCAGTGAGCGACACTTAACTGTTATTTGATAACTGCACTATTAGGGTTTTCACCAAGCGTGAATTCCTAGATGTACCTTTTTATCATCTCAACATTTTTTAAAATCAGGACATGTCTTAATAATTGATTTGTACATTTAATGGTCCGGTGTTTCTTTCCTGAATAACCTGACATTAAATCAGTGATTCGTGTAATACTCAACAGCGCCTTGGAAACAGCCGTTTTCTACATCTATAATAAAAGTTTCTAATAGAAAACTCAACAAATGACAGTTGTATCACCACACATTTGTCAAAGAGAAATAGTATGTACTTCACAGGACTGCAGTGAGGATTAAAAGAGCTGACAGGCTCAGCCCCTGTAGCACAGTGCTTACGGCGTCGGCCACATACACGAAGGATGGCGTGTTCAAACCCAGCCCAGGCTTGCTAAACAACAATGACAACTGCAACCAAAAAAGAGCTGGGCATTGTCATGGGCACCTGTAGTCCTGCTACTCAGGAGGCTGAGGCAAGAGAATTGCTTAAGCCCAAGAGTCTAAGGTTACTGTGAGCTGTGAAGCCATGACACTCTACTGAGGGCGACATACTAAGACTCTGTCTCAAAAAAAAGAAAAGAGCTGACAAAGCAGGGGTCAGCCAAGCCATCTATTTCTGTAAATAAAGTTTTATTAGAACATAGCCACACTCAATTATTTATGTACTGTCCATGGCTGCTTTTACCTACAACAGAGCAACAGGGACCTTCTGGATTGTAAAACTGGAAAGATTTACTGCCTGGGCCTTCATAGAAGAAGTCTGTCAACCCCTATGATGTAGGAAAAAGGACAGGGGCTTGTGGTGGCCACTCCCTCTTCCTGTAAATCACTCATAAGCCATGCAAATCACTGCTAAAAAAACTGTGGAGGACAACGCTGCGGCAGCAGTCCTGCCCAGAATCACTACAGATTCCAGAGCCAACATCAACCCCCACGTCGGCAGCCCTCTGGCTTTGGTTACTTAGGTTTACATGAGTTCCTCCTCTGTGCGCACAGCACCTTTTGGTTGTGAAGGTTTCATAAGTACACAGGGTTTGCGACATGACGAGGGCCTCAAGAGCTGTTAGGGTCACAGACCCGTTTATTCCTACACTCTAGTATCCCAGGAGATGTGCTCTTAGAACTATCTGCCACCATCCCCTGCCTCATTAAATACACCGACTTAGTTTTCCTTATTTTCTATTTTTGCTTTCCTTCACTGCTGGCTCACTGAAAACAGGAAGTTCTAAAACACCTTCACTGTCACGCTTGAGAGAACAAAGTCTGTGGGAGGTGCTGGAGGCTATGGCCTGCTCTGTGGGTCAGGTGCATGAACTGGTGACAGCTTCCAGTGGTCTACTCAGTGGTTTTTCTCTCATCCATGATGGGAATGGTGATGGATGGTGGAGACGTGACACAATATTGCATCACTGTTATTTTTACAGCTTTCCCTTACCTGGCTCTAACTGAATCCCAGTCTAACACCAATCTTGAGAGCTGTTTTCTCTGTTTCTGGATGTTGGGAATCTCCACCTAGAAGGAAGAACACGCCAAATGGGATACGCTTCAGGGTTTCTAGCTTAACCTTTTCAAGTGCAGTATTTATAATACTTACAAATGTTTTTCTCTTAGGCGAAGAACTTTGTACCCTCAATTTATTCCTCTTAGTTACAAAAAGAAGTGTATGTTAAAACCAGTGACTACTGTTAAACTGTTAAAATGTTAGACATAAGCGAATCATTCGCCATCCAGCCCACATCATTCTAGGCTTTTCTATACCACGCAGCGCAAGCACCCACCTCTGCTATGCCATACAGAGGGTCCACGATCTCCTTTTCAACAAAGACTTCATGCTGAGAGAGCTCGAGAGCCAGCTGATTCTCAGCATCTCCACACGTCTCCAGCATCTTCCTTTAAAAACAAGATATCCCAACAATAAGCTCATTAAACCAGGTACAGGATTATCATGTTGATGTTCTGCTTGATATGATGGGAGTGCATTAGGTGCTACCCAAAAGTGCCTTAAAAATATTGAGGCCATCACATAAACTGTGAATCCACAGATTCAGGCTTTATGATGAAAATGACAGTCTCGTGCATGTACTCTGCACATAGGAGGTGAGGCAGGCAGATGTGTATGAATGGTGAGGTCACAACTTACTCGAGAATTAGTTAAGTGAAATTAGTAATTTCACCTGAATTTCTCAAGTCAGGTGAAAACTAGGAGTTCTCAAAATACCCTGAAAAATCTCTTAAATCAGACATGAAGTTCATTATATATTGCCTTATGTCTGCCAGAGAGCCTAGCCTCGGCAGTGGTGCCTTCCTGCTGTGCAGATGAGGTATCTGGCTAACACCGGCCACGTTACATGAACATCATATTTCCTTCTCATCTGAGGAGAGATGAGACACTGGCTCTGAGCACACAGCCAATGTCATACAAAGTGCACACGCAGGAGATACAATACCACTGTCTCTGTCCCTCCTTAGTTTCTTTCCATTTCCGCCCCATTAGCTCACTATAGAGTCTTTAAACACCAGAAATGTGTATGGCACTGGTGTGGGGGAGCATGGTATCATAGTTAAGACCAGGCATGCTCTCTGGTGCCAAGCTGCTTGACTTTGAATATAGACTTTGCTACTTCCCAGCTGTGTGGTCTCAGGCAATTTCCTTACCCCTCTCTGTCAATTTCCTCATCTGTAAAATGGGAATACTGATGTTATCTACACTCCTAGACTGTTTGGGTGCCTGTAGTCCCAGCTACTTGGGAGGCGGTGGCAGGAAATTAAATGAGCTATTACTTGGAAAGCACTTAGAACAGTGCCAGCACACGGCATCACTATGGTGTGATGACAACAGCAGCAGTGTGAGGAAGTATAAACACAAAAACATATCCAGGCTGGAGGGATCAGAGATGCCAGTACGCGGGCAAGTCCCACCCTCCTCCTCCCAGGGTCAGTGCCTCCAACATGGGAGCACAAACAAGACAAAGGAAGGGTGAAGAATGGGAGGAAATCATTCTCCTTGAAAGGGCAGAGGGTGGATCTTAGACCCTGAGAAATAAGTTAAAAAGTCTTCAGTGCATGTCCAGCTGGGAAGCAAGGCCCACGGTTACAGGTGGAGAGAGAAGGATTAAAGGACTCTAGGCTCGCTGGAGAAGAAGGTTAAAAAAGGATAAATCTTCTCTCTTATAATGAAAGTTGTTTTATTATTAGATTTTTATATAGTTTAATAATAAATGTCAGTTACTAAAATTCCAAATAATTCAGAAAATACACCTGAGACAACTATCATGGACCTTTTGGTGACCATCCTTAAAGGAAGTGACTCTTTTTTTTCTTTTTTTGAGACAGAGCCTCAAGCTGTTGCCCTGGGTAGAGTGCTATCGCATCACAGCTCACAGCAACCTCCAATTCCTGGGCTCAAGCCATTTTCCTGCCACCGCCTCCCAAGTAGCTGGGACTACAGGCAACTGCTACAACGCCTGGCTACTTTTTGTTTGCAGCTGTCATTGTTGTTTGGTGGGCCAGCACTGGATTCGAACCCGCCAGCTCAGGTGTATGTAGCTGGCACCTTAGCCACTTGAGCCATAGGCCCTAAGCCAAAGGAAGTGACTCTTAAGGACTAAAAGAGACTAGTCAGAGTTTATAAGTCTGAGTCAACACCTGAAACAGGGAAGAGCTCAGATTCTTTACATCTAAGCTTAGAAGAATAAATACTGACCCTACCAATTACTTTTGTTAGTGGCCCTTTCTGCCATCCAACTCTAACCCGACTCCTACAAGAAGAAAAATTCTCTAGCGCCACCCACAGACTTGACCCCTCTTTCTCCCACAGAATCTGGTAGATGAGCCATGCTGCCATGCTCACCGTACCCCCGGTCACAGGTGACTGCTACGTGTATGGCCCAGCCTACCCACCTACATTAAGTCACAGGGCATGAGGCCAACTCTTACCCCAGGAGAGATTCTTCCAGCTGAGTTGAGGCTTCTTGCATATTCTGAGCGAGAGCAGTTAAAGGGAGTTTTTTCTGGAAGGCAGAAGACAGTGTGTGGTTTTGTTTTGTTTTTTTCTTTATTTGATACTCGTTCTCAGTGATCTGCTTCAGATCATCATTCTTTAATCCCTGCCTCTGCACAGGTAAGAGACAGCCTGTCTTGGTTCAGATTCTAGTCTCACGGGCATTAGTTCTACGACTTAATTGTCTTGGTTCAGGCTTCTGTTGACAAAAGGAGATATTCAACATCAAGTACCCAGGGCCTGGTAAGCATTCAGTAAATGTTAGCTCTGTCATTACTGTTGTTGTTGTTATTATTATTATTACTCAAGTATGTACTATGCTCCAGGCACTGGGGGCATTAAGACATAGACCTTGCTCTCTAAATAATTATCATGACAAGTAAATGCAATAAAGTGCTCAATTTCAAAAGTTTTTGCTAGAATATAATTTTTAAACTAATTCTTAATTTAGCTGTAATTCTAAAATTTAGCTTTAGTTAAATATCCTATTACTAGGCACACATCTAAAAATTTTTCTGTAACATTTTTAAGCATGAAACTACTCATTTTCCTAACAGAGATTTGTTTTCAGTTGGCAATGACCACAGAATCACTTGATCTAATCATACAGTCAGGGAAGTTAAGTGGCCTGGCCAGGCACCCCAGGAAGGGAAAGGATAGCCAGACCTCAGTGCTGATGACTTAAGCCTCAGTTCAGTCTTTTCACCACTGGCCAACGGCTTATGATAGGCAATGGAGAGAAGAGGCCTGGAAGTAATAAGTGGTTGGTTACAATACCATAACCTGCTAATAAAAAAAATGCTTTCAATTCTGCAGTATCCCATGTAATTTTGCCTGCCCAGTACAAAGACCATTCATGTCAATAACACAGTGTCCACCCCTGGCATGGCATCTGACTTTTTTGCCTTTGATGGACTCCATCTAATACACTCACATATGGAGTATTTCTAGAAGGCTCTGTAAGATAAACTGCTAGCGGTGGTGGCTCTGGAGGGGGGACTGGGTGCATGGGGGAAAGGGCTGGAAGACACTTCACTTTATATTCTTTTGTATATTCTGAATTTTGACCATGTAAATGTAGAACCTATTCGAAATGGTAAATTTAAATTAAAATAAACACAAAAAATGACAATTAATTACCTATCTCCACTCCCCTCAAATTATTTTCAAATAAATAAATAATGGGCTCCATCTGTCCACAAGAAGACCATTTCCATCTGACACACTTCTGGATAAAGAAGATATGAGAATAGAGGATAATTCATACCTTTTAGTTATGTTGCTTTTCTAAAGAAAATTAAATGTAAGATAAATGCAATAATCAACAGAAAGACACTTTGTACAATTCTGGAACCCTATGAGTCTATGGGAAAAAAAGAGAAAATCTATTTCCACAAGCATCATTCAAGCTCCTAGTTCTCCTAGTTCTCTATAGCCCTGCAGCTTCTCTGCTCTGACTCCAAAGCCACAACAATCTGGTTTCTTGATGTACACACATAAGAAAATTCTACTTAATATGTACAAACCCATTAATGAAAATGTCATTTAGCAATAATGAACTCCTCCACAGAAAAGGCTTCACACTTCCTAGAGACGAACAGGAATTATTTCTATCATCCGGGATCAACTTTAAAAGGTCTGAAAAAGAAATAATTCTCTCTAATCTAATAATCTAATCTAAGATCACCTACAACATAAGATCTGCCATGTCGATGGAGATTCAGGCTGAGAAGGCCACACCCCATCTATCTCCCACCCAATTCTTGCCTCTTTACAAGCACGGGAGCTTCTGGTGGTGCCTCTGGGAGGCTCCTCCTTTGTCTTACAGCACGCAGAGCTCTACAGACTTCTGTGATTTTCCCCATATTATATGATCTCTTGTGGTCACTAGTCTTCTCTCATCATTGTCATGGTGACTCCTCTTCCCCAGTGCAAAGTGTAGACATCCCCAGAACCCTGTCTTTGATACTTCTGTGTGAGGTTAGAAAAGGAAAGCAGAGGCATTATGTTTTAGAAATGAGGACTGAGCCCCTTCGCTTGCTGCCTGGAACATTCCCACCACTTGCCACCATGTTCCCTGTTCCCTCCTTTACAGCTCCGGCACCACCTCCTCTAGAAGCCTCACCTGGCTACTCTCTCCTTTGGTGACCACTCTTGGTCTTTCATAACACGCCACTCATGTTTATAGAACATGCTGTTTTATAATCACCCAATTGTATTTATCTCTTCTAGGAGGCTATACATACTTATGCTTCATCCATTTTATATCTCTAGCACTTGTACACAGTAGGTGTTTGATAAAATAGTACAACCTCTGTAAGCTGACCATCCAAGGGATTATAAAAAACTGGCCAACATGCAGAGGTTGTCAACATAAGGAACAAGGCCTGCTGTACTGATACATGTATGTGGTCCAAGTCCAGTCTATAAACTTAGGTCAACTTAATTAGGGAGGTGGTCAACTATGAAGGTTCTACTAGATTTAATTTGTATTTTTAAGACTGTATGTGACACTTGGGCTAAGTCTCAAAGAAAAAACAAGCCATAACTGTGTGAAGGACTGTGACATATTTGGGGGCTGGTGGGTACTATGTGGCTCGCATTCAGAGGGAGAGGAAGCAAGAGACAGTGAAGCTGATAAGTCAGAACAGGACCATATATAAAGGGCTTCAGTCATGCTTAAGAGCATTACCTATCCCAGCCAGTGGGAATCAGCCAGTGTCATTAAAAGAGGCACCACACGCATTACAGGATACCGCCTTGTGTGGAACTATTGTGCCAGGTACTGTGGAACACTTAGCATCTTGGTCCCCATCTTCTAAATGCTAGTAGTGTCCTCCAGTCCTTATGACAACCAGAATAGCCTTTTTTTTTTTTAAACATTTATTATTTATATATTTTTAATTTTTTTATTGCTTGGGACTCATAGAGGTACAAAGAATTAGCTTACACTGATCGCATTCGTTAGACAAAGTCCCTCTTACAATTGTGTCCTGCCCCTACGAAGTGTGCCATACACCATGACACCCCCCATCCTTCACCCCCTCCCCATGCCCACTTGCTTGCCTCCTTATATTAGCTCATTTACTGCCTTCATATTAGAATAGAGTACATTGGATTCTTGCTTCTCCACTCTTGTGATGCTTTACTAAAAAGAATGTGTTCCACCTCCATCCAAGTTAATACAAGAGATATAAAGTCTCCATCTCTTTTCATGGCTGAATAGTATTCCATGGTATACATATACCACAGCTTGTTAAATCCATTCCTGGGTTGGTGGGCATTTAGGCTATTCCCATATTTTGGTGATTGTAAATTGAGGTCAATAAACAATCTAGTGCAAATGTCCTTATGATTAAAGGCTTTTTTTTCTTCTGGGTAGATGTCTAGTAATAGGATTGCAGGATCAAATGAGAGGTCTAATTTGAGTTGAGGATTCTCCATACTTCCTTCCAAAATGGTTGTATTAGTCTGCAGTCCCACCAGCAGTATAAAAGTATTCCCCTCTCTCCACATCTACAGCTTTGAGACTTTGTGATATGGGCAATTCTCACTGGGTTTAAGTGATATCTTACGGTAATTTTAATTTGCATTTCTCTGATCATTAGGGATGATGAGCACTTTGTCTTATGTTTGTCAGCCATTTGTCTGTCTTCCTTAGAGAAAGTTCTATTCATCTCTCTTGCCCAGTGATATATGGGATTGTTGGGTCTTTTTTTGCTGACTAATTTGAGTTCTCTATAGATCCTAGTTATCAAGCTTTTGTCCAACTCATAATATCATAGTATGAGTAAGATACTCATAGTATCTTTTCCCATTCTGAAGGCTGCCTGTTTGCTTTAGTTGTTGTTTCCTTAGCTGTACAGAAGCTTTTCAGTTTAATTAAGTCCCATTTGTTTATTTTTGTTGTTGTTGCAATTGCCACGAAAGTCTTTTTCATAAAATCTTTCCCCAAGCCAATATCTTCAAGTGTTTTCCCCATACTTTATTCAAGGATTTTTATTGTTTCATGTCTTAGGTTTAAATCTTTTATCCATCTTGAATCTATTTTTGTAAGTAGTGAGAGGTATGGGTCCAGTTTCAGTCTTTTGCATATGGTTATCCAGTTCTCCCGGCACCATTTATTGAATAGGGATGTTCTTGTTTGGTTTATCAAAGATCAGGTGGCTGTAACACGTTAGTTCCATCTCATGGTTTTCTATTTGGTTCCAAATGTCAATGTCTCTATTTTTGTGCCAAATACCATGCTGTTTTGATCACTATGGCCTTGTATAGCCAAAAGTCTGGTAGGGTGATACCCTCGGCTTTGTTTTTATTACTAAAAATTGCTTTTGCTGTATGGGGTTTCTTCTGGTTCCATATAGAGCAAAGAATTATTTTTTTCCAAATATTGAAACTATGATGATGGTATTTTAATGAAGATTGCATTGAATTGGTGGATTGCCCCAGTATTACAGACATTTTCACAATGTTGGTTCTTCCCAGCCATGAGCATGGTACATTCTTCCATTTGTTAGTATCTTCTGCTATTTCTTTTCTTAGGGTTTCATAATTTCTTTCTGGAGGTCCTTCACCTCTTTTGGTAAGTATATTCCTAGGTATTTCATTTTTTTTTTGAAGCTACTGTGAAGGGAATTGTATCCTTCATTAGCTTCTCATCTTGGCTGTTATTGGCATATACAAAGGCTATTGATTTGTAGATACTGATTTTATATCCTGAGACACTGTTGTATTTCTTGATCACTTTCAGGAGTCTTATGGTTGAATCTTAAGTCTTTGGGGTTCTCTAAGTATAAAATCATATCATCAGCTAAGTGAGAGTCTGACCTCCTCTGCACCCATTTGGATGCCCTTTATATTCTTCTCTTGCCTGACTGTATTGGCTAGAACTTCCAGTATTATGTAAAATAGTACTGGGGATAGAGGACAACCTTGTCTGGTTTCAGTCCTAAGTAGAAAAGCTTTCAGTTTTATTCCATTCGGTGTAATATCAGCTGTGGGTTTGTCATA